ACACACAGAGAACACATATTTACGTGGTTCGGCCCAATGCTACATCCACGGAAGAAGAGAATTTTCACTAAAATGGAGCAAAAATACAAATCAGAGGAGGAGATGAAACTCACTCAAGCTCAAGCTCTTACTCTTCTAATTTCTGATGAAGTGGCTAGCCATAATTGGCCAAGGTGGTGCCACCCCCACTATCTTCCATTAGTGAGTTAGTGTTGCCTCCACCACCTTCTTTTACCACTAGTGCCACCACACTATGTGGATGGTGGGCTCTTTACCATGTGGGTAGTGGATGGAGCCAACAATTTCTCCCTCCACGCCACATGGACAACGACTTCTTACTTGAAGTCCATCCCGATCAGATGCTTGCAAACTTCCAGTTTGTCTCTGGTGACACCCTTGGTCATCATGTCAGAAGGATTCTATCTGTGTGGATCTTGATCAGTTCAATAACTGTTTGTCCATCACTTCGCGTATCCAATGAATACTGAACATCAATGTGGCTTTGTGCGAGAATGGTACATCGAATTCTTGCTCAGGTCTATGGCACTCTGACTATCAACATGTACCGTGAACTTTTCTTGCTTTAATCCCAACTCTTGGAGAAACCGCTTCAACCACACATCTCTTTCCAGCTTCCCATGCGGCAATAATAATCTGCCTCTGTTGTGGATAAAGCAACACATTTCTGCAGCTTGGACTGCCAAGACACAGCTCCCCCTGCGAAAGTGAAAGAAATCCTGATGTAGATTTCTTAGACATATTTTTCTGGGTGTGTTTGATCCTAACATATATATATATATATATATAAATACAAAAGCACTACTAGATCATTTTGCTTTCTCAAGCAAAATCAAAGCCCAGGTTTCAGTTTTCCCCTTTGGCTCAGAAGAGTTTGGTTTGCTCACCTGAACAGTCTTTTCTACAAGATTCTTTCTTTGTTGAGCAACAGACACATGACAAACCACTCCAAACACTTCAATTCCTCTTGCTTTAAGCTTCTCCACTGCCTCATCTACATTTTTCTGCAAAACAATCAAACACAAAACACAAAATGTGATGTAATTGAAATTTTAAGTAAAATAATCGAGAAATGAAAGATCAAAATTGAAGGACACAGACCCAGAAAAAAATTGAGAAAAAAATCAATAAAATAAACCCAGAAAATTAAGGTTCAATCTCCTAAAAAAGAAGACGAAAAAGATCGAGAGAGACAAACAAAAACGAACCTGTCTGCGAGATGAGATGACAACAGAGGCACCTTCCAAGCCGAGACGCTCGGCGATGCTGAAGCCTATGCCCTGGGTGGAGGCCGTGACAATCGCGACCTTGCCTTGAAATCTCTTCCCAATCTTCTCCATGGCTTTTGTTTGGTTCGCGACAAGATCCAAGCTGTACGTAAGCAACGCCGTCTCCGCTTTTTCCGGAAACCAAGACCCAAACCAAAGCTTTTCACCCTCTTTTTTATAGGAAAATGAATTGTGACCCTAAAAAGAGTGGCTTTAATGGCCCTAATTTCCTTTTCCTTTGTTTTTTTTTCTTTTTCTCTTTTGTCTTATTTTTTTTTTGTTGCCTTATATGGAAATTTAGGGGCATTCGGGCCCCTAAATTTCGAGCTACCAACCAAAACCGCTTTTTATATATGTGGTTTGTTTTCGGAGGTCGAATTGGGGGAATTTACGGTGGGAGGATTGTTAGTGAAAGGATTGATAGTGAAAAAATTAAGGTGTTATTTTAGAACAGATTTTTTTAATAATTTTTTGATTTTTTAGTTAAAATGTGATGTAAAAAAAATTATTATGTTTGGAATAATTTTTTGACTTTTTATAAAAAATTGTGTAAAAAGTAGAGAAAAAAGAGGATCTTTGACTTTTTGGTATGGATTGTAACTTTTTGGTTTTTTTAGTAATTTTTTGACTTTTTGGCTAAATCGGCCGCTTTCCAAACGAGACCTAAGTAAAATTGTGTTTGTTTTGATATTAGTCGTTAGTGTAAAGATTGTTAAATTAAAATAAATATAAAATAAATATAAAATAATAACACAAATAAAAAAATATATATAAACTTTAAACATTAATGTTTGAAAAAAAATGTCCAACATGTAAAAAAAAATTAAAAAATAAAAATAAAATAAAAAATTTTCAACAAAAAATAAAACAAATAAAATAATGATTTTTGCTTAACAAAAAATACAAAAAATTAAATATTAATGTTAAAAAAAAAATTTCCGACAGTAAAAAATAAAATAAAAAATAAATAAAAATAAAAAATTTCTAATCCATCGGACTATTTTTCTAATACCAAGTCCTAGAGGTCCATCCGAATCCCTTACGGAGACCCATTTTAATCCGGAGCTCACTATTAATTCATTTCCCATCTCTCAAAACAAACATAACATTAGTGAGTCCCACCTCACTACCAATCCCAATCCTCCCTCTAACTCTCCATGCTACACACCTCCTCCCCTCCCCTCTTACACATGGCTCCTTGACTATTTTAGTATATTATTACACATGGCTCCTTGACTATTTTAGTATATTATTTTAATAAATTAAAATATTTATATTTAAAAAAATAGTTAATTTTTTTTTAGTTAAATAAGATATTTATAAGAGTAAAAGTAAAATAATTATGAGTTTAATTTGATATTTTATATTATTAACTATTTTACTCTTCGTTTGCATTGGTTTTTTTAATTGGCTTTTTTTGTGTTGAGGCTTTTTTACCTTAGCTTTTTTAGGCTTGTTTGGTTTATTTTTTTGACTTTTTTGAAAAAAAATATAATAATTATGGTTTAGATGTGATATTTTGTTTTATTAACTTATATAGCTAATTTTATTTTTTTATGCTTTTTTTAGAAAAAGTTTAAAAGCAAACGAAGCTTTAGCTATTTTGTTTTATTTGGATTTTAACTAAAAAAAAAAAAAATTTGCCAAACAAATGTTATGGTTACGTTTGGGGGAGTGAAGTGGCTTTTTTGATTTTTTTAGCCTAAGCTAATTGTTTAGATTTGATTTTTTGATTTTTTTTCACTTTTGTAAGTGAAAAAGTAAAATGATTATGATTTGAATGTGATATTTTTCTTATTGATTTTTTAATCTATTTTGTCATTTTTTACTGTTTTAGTCTTTTAGCCCCCAATCTAACATGCCATAGAGGGCTATATATTTTTGTGATAAATATTACTCTCTTCGTCTTAAAATATTAGTTCCTTTTGAAAAGTCTATTTTTTATTTTTTATTTTATAGTATATCATGATACTTCAAAAATATTAACTTTTCAAATTACCTTTTAGAAGTGCAATTATTACACTTCAAAAATAATATTAATGAATTTAAAAGAATAACAAAATAATAAATTTATGATATTTTAGTCCTTAATTTTTGAAAATATATTAATATTTTTGGACAATAAAAAATGAAGTAAATGACTAATATTTTGAGACAAATAAAATATATATATTTTTGAGTAAAATTCCAATAATTTGTTATTTAGAAATGAGATACGTTTTTTTATCCAATCAATTTTTGGGAACTTGGTTCTCATATTTTTTTTTTTTTCACTAAAAGACAAAAGTTTTGCAAAATAAAAAAATAAAAAAACAAATCTATACAAAATAACATATCCAACCCTATAATCATTTCATTTTTTCTCTCACAAACATCACATTTCAACCACAAAAAAACCCAACTATCTTCCCAAACACTAAATTTTTTTTATCCAATAATATCCTACAACTAAAAAAACTTATATAAAAACCCACTTTCCAAACACCCACAATGTGTAACATTACTACAAAAAAATATCAAAATAAATATGCATAACATTTATGGGTGTTTTGGGAAGTTGGTAAAAAGCTGGTTTTTGGCTTTTTACCAAGTTTTTTTGACTTTTTTGAAAGTGATTTAGGAAGTTGGTAAAAAACTGGCTTTTTTACTTTTTGGTTTAATATTTTTTAAAAGTGTTACATCACTCTAAAATGACCAAAATATCCTTACTTTTTGCATGTCAATATTTTTTTTAATTAATTAATTATAATGTTCTATAGGGTAGTTTGGTAAATTTGTAAGTAGCTTTTTTGGGTCTTCCCAAATGGGTATAGTGGTGTTTTTGCAAGGGGTGGCGTTTTGAAAAAACCACAAAAATAAGTAACAAATATGCATATAATACACACCTTTTGAAGGGTCTGTATCATAACATTACCATATAAATAAACATCCCAAAGTAGAGTTTTAATGTGAAACAATTTTTCAATTATTTTTTGGCAAAATCGAATTAGTTGGTGGTAATTCAAATTATATTTAAAATTTTGGATGTTCGTATGTTTAGCTGTAAAATTAATAATCAAGTTTGTTTTAATCAACTTATATTAACTAAACTCATTTAAATATATATATATATATATATATTCTCAAAATTATGGGGTGGTTTGGCATCCCAAAATAAGTACACATTTTTTATCTTTTTATTTTTTTGGATCACATCAATCAACATTTTTTCTCTATTTTTTTACACAATTTTTTTTTATAAAAAATTAAAAAATACACTTATTTAGAACATCTCAACCCAAATATCGATTTTGTTTAAACTTGGAATTTTGAACGGTGGTTATCTCACGGCCATTGCGGCCCGCAAGTGCATCTTGATGCAAAGCATGTTGGTTAGGCTTTGATGGTGTTCTAGTGTCCTTTTTTTCACTATGTGATGGTAAAATGACCATTTATCACATTGATTTTTTTTTTTTTTGGTTAAGCGATGATAGTCGATTGTTTGCATCTAACATCGGTGGGCCCATAGAGGTTTTTGGCCCACCACTTCGAGCGCAATACACGGTTTAAACACTAAAGCCCAACATTACTGGAACTCAACGTTACACCAAGAACCAATGACATCTAAACACTTGTCAGGAGGAGAACCAGTCACGTAAGTAGACAAAGATCCTGCAGAGTTATTGCACCACATATCAGCCATTAATGAAGCCCCTACAGCATTAAATGCGATAATCCCTTCACGTCAGAGCAGGCAGCTTCACCAAGAACAAGGCAAGCTAGAGCGTAGACTTTCGGGCAACATGACAGGTTGGAGTAGACAAGGAAATGATGAACAAAAGATATGAGGAAGCTTCCAAGACACAAAAAGGTTAAGTGCCCTATCGTTATTCTCCTATCATTCGCCATTAACCCCTCTTTCTTCTAACTTGACCGTCGGAGGGTCCGCTGGGGGACTCCCATTCCCCACTAGGCTTTTGTGCAGGTACCTCGATAGGCTCAATGATCGGGGAACGACGTTGGAAGCGTGGGCCTACAATTAGCAGTACTATTAGTTGGCGCTGTCTGTGGGAACACCATTCTGCGTGACAACTGTGCTCATTGTTACCGAAGACATGTTCCCGATAATCCCTCATCGCTGGCCATCAAGGTGAATGGTCATAACGATCAATTTTATAAAAATTAAATTTACATATTAAAAGTTATTTGTAATTTATTTATACTATTATAAAGTGAACACCTCTTATGGTGTCTTGAAGTTTTGTTTTTTATGCTGTCACGTGTCTACTTTTTTTATTTAAAATTAAAAAAAAAATTCGATAGATGAGTGGAGGGGACTTGAACCTTAGACTTATATCAAATAAATAAGACTCTTACCACTTGACTAGTACACAATATATAATAAATTTTTTATTTTATTTTTATTTATTTAAATAGCACACGTGTTGCGTGTGTCAACCGCTAGTACTATTACAAAATGAGCACATCTTATGGTGTATTGAAACTTTTGTTTCTTATGCTGCCACGTGTCTACCTTTTTATTTGAAATTAAAAAAAAAATTAGATAGATGAGAAGAGTGGATTTGAACCTTAGACTTATGTCAAATGAGTAAGACTTTTATCACTTAACTAGCACACAATATATGATAAATGTTTTATTTTATTTTTATTTATTTGAATTGCACATGTATTGCATGTGGCAACTGCTAGTACTATTATAAAGTGAACACCTCTTATGGTGTCTTGAAACCTTTATTTCTTATGTTACCATGTGTCTACTTTTTTAGTTGAAAAAAAAAATTAGATAGATGCGAGGATTTGAACCTTAGACTTATGTTAAATGAGTAAGACTTTTACTACTTAACTAGCACACAATATATAATAAATATTTTATTTTATTTTTATTTATTTGAATTGCACACGCATCGCGTGTGGCAACCGCTAATATACTAAAAAATATAGAATGAATAATATTTTAGAAAGAATTTTTTATTTTTCATCCTTCCTCTAAATATGAAAAATCAACTACCTTTCTTATAAATAAAGATAAATTTAGAAGATGAATTGAAGGAATAAATCCTTCATATTTAAAGTTATAAAATATGTATTGGTGGTGGTGTCCGAAGTCGGCAATGGACTCAAGGGAACTCTACTACTGCCAACGAGAGACGACGAGATTGAAACCGTTTTTAAGAATGAGTCTCTTCT